TAGGCCATTGAGAAAACATAAAATAATTACTGATGATAGCTAACATTTGTTGAGTACTTTCTATGTGCTTCGCATAGTACTAAGTTCTTGCATACATGACCTAATTTATTTCTCCTAACCATCTATGAAGTAGATACTGTTATTTTTGCATATTTTTCAAATGAATAAACCCAATGCTTAGAGTGGTTAAGGAAATTGCCTAAGTTTGTTCAGCTGGTAAGTTACAGAGCTGCTTCTGACTTTAGATTTATCTGATTCCAGGGCTCAGTTTCTTCACTTTGAGTGTTTATATAGTGAGAAGATCATTATATGGAATGTTAATGCTATAGGGAATTGAAGGCAATAGGGTCAAAAAAGTGTTAACTTAAACTATATTTAAGACTTCCAAAGATGTGAAGACTTGTGACAGTTATGTACTACCCACCTCCCCAATTGAAGATACAAAGCTTACCCCCTGATAGAGGGTACCCCTCTCTGATGGCTTTGCCCTGCCTACCCTCTGGGAGGTAACTGTGATAATGAATTTGATTGGTGCATTTTCTTATACTCTCTCTCTCTCTCTTTCTGTGTGTATGTACTTAAAGAATGTACCTTATTTTCTACATTACTTTTGATCAGGTTCTGATACGGGAATTTTTTTTTGCAAGTTAGAAAGAAGGAGCCTAGAGAGAAAATGGAAATCATACAACTCATCTCTTGTGAGAGTGTGTTGTGCAACATAAAGCTTGTTTTAAAGAATTGGGGTACCTTCCTCAGGACTGTGTGAAAGATCTAAGCAACTTTGCCAGCATATTTTCAGGGAACATGTTTGTGAACCACAAGTACACAAAACAGACCTTGAAATGCTTGCCCTTTCCTGTAACCAAGGGCGGAATGGAATTTGCCCTCTTGTCTGCACTGTGTGACTATCAGAATGGCTCATTTTCTTTGATCCTGTGTTTTCTGGCATTTGGACAATGTACCCCAAGAAGTTAAAATCATCATCCTTGCTTGGCGCTCTGTGGCAGCTGCCTGCCTGGTGGCTTCTGGTAGTTCCGTGAAACGTGTGGGCAGAAGAACAGAAGGGCTGAGGAAGGAATAGAGTGACTGGAATAGCATTCGCCGGCAGAATGTTTGTAGCTGAAGGTGGAGCATATCCAGAGGACACTGTTAGGAATATTTTAAAATCACAGGTGCACTTCTGCTCCTTGCAATTTAAAGGCACGCAGTAAATGCAATTTGTATAACTGTTTCACAAAGTGGCTAGATGGCTTCCTTATTTCTAAATTGGAGTTTTTGTGGGCCCTCCGTAGGCAAAGGGAAGGTAAGCTGGGTCTCCTTCTTGCAAGAATGAATGAGTGTAAAGCAACTCTGTTTCCCCAGCACCTGGAAACAGCGTGTAGGAACTCAAGGGTTTTTTGAAGAAATGATTAAATAGAAATGTCATGTTTTCCCACTTGAGGCTAACTCAATTGTGCAAAAATTTTTACTCATGCCTGTTAACCCCACCACAGTTACTTGGTTCAGCTGTGAGATAGGACGTGATTGCTTCATGCATAGGTGGATTCTGAGCTACTTTCAGAGGTGAAGGAAAGAACTTCCTGTGCCCATGATTTTCATTGATTTACTAAAACCTGAAATGCCACCTGAGGAATGTTTTTAAAGGAACAGAAGAAAGAAATAAAAGAAACCTCCTTAAAATAGTGGTCCAAAGTTTTAAAATTATATATCATATCTGTAAACTTTTTTTGAGTACTTATCCCCAAATATGCACATTTATTGATTTATACATTATGTGCTATTGCATAAATATGTTAATACCTAATAGAACATATGCAAATATTTTAAGAAGGAGACAAACCTGAAATAAAAATATTTTATTTATAAGGGTACAGAACTTTTGCTTTCATAAAGATTATTGTTATGCTATGATTAGTTATAATTCAGACTTTTTTCATCTTGGTTTAATATTTTGTGACATGACTTCTGGGTCTAAATTCAGCTTATTTTAAAATTTTGTTTTAAAGGCTATTATAGCTAAAAATAATATTTTATCAAAGTGTATGGGTATCATGTAAAAAGGCATTGTGGCTACATTTATGGGTTTGTGATACCCAGATGTGGGTCTCCTCCATCACTATAAGGCATTTGTGTGGCTCCTTGGAAAGCTAATGCCCATCTTCCCTGGTGTCAATCAGTTGTCTTTGCAAACTAATTATAAGGTATACATCTTACATATTTTTAACAAATGAATTTAAATCCCTCTGAGAATTTTGATCTGGAAGGTTTTAAAACAGGTTATAATATTCTGTTTTCAAGTTGTTAAGTATGAAGATGTGGTGACATCTTTAGTAGTGGTGCATCTTTAGTAGCAAAATCATTTTTACAATGGAAATGATTCTTAATACAAATTTTAAAATATTCTTTACATAATCCAAGTTTTAGTTTTAAATACACTGTTTGTCATCCATGATTAAAACATTAAGTTAAACCTTAAAGGCCAAATTAAGTACATAAGTTAGTGAATATGCCCCTTGTCTTTTTGCAAAAGAAAATGCACACTTATATTTAAATGTCACAAGATTTTTCTACTTCTCGTTAATGAGATAAACACCTAACCACTGTGATACAAAAGATCTTTGTGGCCCTTCTCTATCTCATTAACAAGAGTAGTAAATATTTGACTATATTTTAAAGGCTTTGTGGTTGTCATGGTTGTCGTTATTCCTAAAGGACTTTGACACTTCAGCTTCAATTTCTTTCTTTTTATTTTTTTTTGAGCCCGAGTCTCGCTCTGTTGCCTAGGCTGGAGTGCAGTGGCAGATCTTGGCTCACTGCAACCTCCAACCCCTGGGTTCAAGCGATTCTCCTGCCTCAGCGTCCTGCGTAGCTAGGACTACAGGAGCTTGCCACCACGCCTGGCTAATTTTTTGTGTTTTAGCAGAGATGGGGTTTCACCACGTTGGCCAGGATGGTCTCAATCACCTGACCTTGTGATCTGCCTGCCTTGGCCTCCCAAAGTGCTGGGATTACAGGCGTGAGCCACTGCGCCTGGCCCAGCTTCAACTTCTTCGCCCATGAATGATGCCAGTAAAGAGTTTTCGGACACAGATTTTGAAATCTTACTTATTTTGTGTGGTTTAGTTTAGTTATAACTTGTTAGCATAATACACAAATCCAGTCAACTGTCAGCAGCCTGGCGACCTGAAGGCACCCTGCCACTCTTCTACATGTGGACTCCCTGTTCTTTTTTCAGGTCATTTTCATGTCACTTAGGTGACATATGACCACTTAAAAGGCAGACTGGGTAACAGTGGCTGAGTAAATGTATATTAAATATCAGTGAGCCTTTTAATTTTTGTGCAAGAAAAATACATATGTGTAAAAGAATTAAGATTTTCCTTTTCTATCTGAGTATATCACCGTATGCATCCCAGATTAAAAACTACCTTTACGGCCTTGACCCCCATTATACTGTGAATCTCCTTGGGTGATGGAAGTACTTGAAGTAATTATGTCACTCAGAATGATTTAATTCAACTTTATTAAAAACAGATTTTGATTGGGTAAAAACATGAGTGAAGTAAATAACCTTGGCCCTTGGTGGTGGTTGATAATTACTGGGATTCAAGGGGTGATGGAGAAGATAACGTACAAACCTTGAAAGCTAAGAGAATGAAACACAAATCCTCATGTTTTACAACATTCTTTCTTCCTACTTTTATGAGAATGCAGAACTGTAGTACAGGGCAATGCAGTCACCACTGCTGTTTTCTCCTAGTCCAGAGTACAGCTGTGTACTGGGTCTATCAGACAGAAAGATCTTGGCCAAGGCAAGACCACGCTTCAACCTGGAGCCAGGACATGGCCCCTGGCAATGGCCAAGGTGTTCAGTCAAAGCACAGGTGGTTGGGATCCAAGGGTGGTATCATCCCATGGATGGCTGGTTGTTACCCTGGATTATGAATATAGCCTGACATTCATTCAGATGTCTAAAATCTAAGTGTTCAAGTAGCTTTTCTGGGCTATGCCATTTTCCAGTGGGAGATATTGAGGCAGCTTTTTAGTTTAAACATACTACAATAATGTTCTATACCAGTTTAGTGGGAAAACCAGTATTTTCAAAGACCCTGTAATCTTTTCACTGAGGGCTGCTTGGAGTTGGTAGCTTTCTTCCTCTTATGCTATTTTAAGCCTGGCAGCAGAAGAGGTGGATTCTATTTTATCCCCATAATTATTTTAATTTCTGGGCTGATGGTGCCATCACTTTCTCCCTCAACTTTTTCCTACTTTCTTTCACATCATTCTCTACTGAAATGCTACCACCAGACACAGGGAGTCACTACCAGTGGCTGACATCTTTATGATCATTCACAAATGATCACAATCACCAGTGATCACCTTGAATAATGCAATAAGATCATGTTTCTTTTATTTCATTTTGTTTTTAGAGACAGAGTCTTACTCTGTTGCCCAGGCCGGAGTGTAGTGGTGTAATCATGGCTCACTGCAGCCTCAACCTCCCGGGCTCAAGCCATCTTCCAGCCTCAGCCTCCAGAGTAGTGGGACTATAGGCATGTGCTACCATGCTCAGCTAATTTTTAAATATTTTTGTAGAGATGGGGTCTCACTATGTTGCCCAGGCTGGCCTTGTACTCTTGGCCTCAAGCTATCCTCCCGCCTCAGCCTCCCAAAGTGCCAGGATTACAGATGTGAGCCACTGTCCCTGGATTCATGGTTTCTTTATATCTGATATTTAGAGGAATAACATGGACATTGTATAATATCATGTTTCGGAGCACATGTGTTTTTCAACATCTATTCTTCTCTGGAGAAAACATGTTCTCTCTTGCTAAGTAAAATACATCTATATTCTGTAAATCCTGAATGCCACATCAGCTTATGTTACACACTATGAGATGAAAAACACCACAATGTGGCACATGTAAGATAGAGCCTATACTCCATTTGTGCTGAGTTTGATGCTGATGGATGAAAACTTATTAGAGGAATTCACTCACCATGCTTGGAGACTTTGCTGTTAATGGTTTTCCATATCTCATTTTTCTGATGTGAGTCTTATTTTAGAGACTTCAGACTAGATGATGGAAGACTGGGGAAACATTCTACCCCCAAAACTCCCCAAACTTGTACACTTTTTATATTGCTGTAACTCATAGGTGAAAGTGGCTGGTGGAGAGAAACAGTACATTATCAAGTCACCGTCTTCTACAGAATACAAATAAGCCACACTGACTACAATGGCCTTCTATCAATTTAAAGGTACCCATGATTTACATTAATGAATTCCATAAAATGTTATTAACTGAGGGATGGCCAGTCTCTGTGAAAAGTATTGATTGTGGAACTCTAAATAAACATATATGTAGGACTTTTAAATATGAAAGCACTCTTTTATGAAGAACTCAGAGGTTTAGCAAATTTAACCATTGACTATACTCTAGAATTCAGGAAAACATGGCAAAGATCTTCCCAGCTGTGTGGAAAACAGCTTCCCAAAGGCACACACAATATACTTCATAGGAGAACAGGGCACTGCTCTCAGAACCTCATACTGTAGACCACTGGGTGTACAATAAGGCATTGTATGAGAAACACCAGGGACATACTGATAACAGATAATGAACAGCAGTGAAAAGAAGGAGATGAAGAACTATTAGAGACAAGTATGATAATTTGATAGGACCTAATAGAAGCAAAAGTGGTCCCCTAAAGCATAATGCAGTTATTTTCCTGATGGTGATTTTGAATAAATAAGAATGAGTTAAATTATGCTCATTTCACTCTGTTTGAGAAAGCAGATCATTATGCAATACATTTTTTCTAAGTTCTTTCAAAAAGGATTAAATAGTAGTAATTTGAACTTATTGAGCATTTACTATGAAACAAACATTTATCTAAGAGCTTTTTAATGCATTATCTCATCAAATCCTCAGAAAAAGATTATGAAGACTTACCATTATTATTTCCATTTTACAGATGAAGAAATGGAGGCAAAAATACATTAAGTTGCCCAAGATGCAGCCAGAAGTAGACTCAGATCGCCCGTGTTGCATCACTGTGTCATACCTGCCCAATTAAGATAAATAAGTATTGCTACTTAAAATAAAAACCTCAGTTGTCTGAAAATCTTACTTGTATGAATCCTGATGATGCAGTATAAATGAGACACTTATGCATATATTAAAATAGCTTTAATTATAACTAGGCTCCAATTATGTTACCTAGTAAAGTCTTTACTGAGACCTTCTTTATTGATAGATAAGAATGTTTTACAATTAAAGCTTTGATTATTTTCTGTAGGTGGAAGTTTACATATAGCATGAAGATACCTTTAAGGTTGACAACTTGCTGTCAAGATACTTAGGAGAATATTGAATTGATCCTGGAACTTTAGATTTAGAAAATCATTAAGACTTGTTTATGTTATTCCTTTGCTTTGCAAAAATATTTTTTTACAGATGGTACAAAGGTAAACTTTAGCTTTGCTCCTGTCAGAATTATCTAATTTCTAATTAGGGGAGCCTGATTTAATGAGATTTTCCTAAGTAGTTTGGATAAGCCTTGGATGAGTGACTTTAAATAAGTGATGTGGTTTTTTAAAAAAAGAAACTAGTTAATCATTTGTTGCTTTCATAATTGATCAATCCAGCATTTCTTGTACAGCTAGGTAATTAGGCATTTGTAACAGACACTGGGACTGCAATGGGGGATGAGAAAGGAGAGCCCAAAAGGAAGGAAGCAAGCTACTGTGGTTCCTCACTCCTCTATAGGCTGGAAGGAGCAGGGGAATCCCAGCAGCCACAGTTGGAGCCCACCTATGCATGTTCATCATCCAGCCAGGATCCTGTTGACCACCTCTGCTAAATATTGGAGCTTGTTCCCACATTAGTGTTATCAATTTGGTGAGGTTAGCGGTAATACTAGCTGCCAGTGCAGTTGTGTTTCTGCATACCCTCTTTGTATGTACATGAGACCATCGAAGCCACTAAAAATCAGGGTGAAGATGGCCATTCAAAAATATATCAGTTACTATGTTATTTCAAGAAGGAAACTGCCAAGTAGAATAACCTGTATGCTTGTAAGTTTATCAGAATTGGTTGAATTCAAGTAAATGCTTTGAAAGTTATAGAACAAGTAAACAAAATGACAATGGTGATGAATGAGTAGTTGATTTAACTTATTTCAATCCAAATATCTGTTAGTCATCTTCCTGAATTTCAATTAAAAATATGTCTAGAAAGCAAATACGCTCTGGGCTTCTCAACTTTTTATACATCCATGGAATACACTAACTTCAAAAGGCAATGCCTTTAGTGGGAGCCTGGTTTGGTAGCTTAGAGGGTTTATTTTGAATAGACAAAAGACAGTCCAACAAAAACTGCAACTCAGCCATCATACTTACAAACATGTGTTCCCTTAACCCATTTATTTTAATGAGTAATGAATTACCTCCTGTTTTCCTGAACTTCAGCCTCTTTCCAAAGGGCTATGCAGAAAAGTGCATTGATGTGGAACAACAAGGTAAGATGAGACAGTCTGTTCAACCCATGTTATTAAAACAGTTGGTTCACCTTTTTGATTCTGTGTCATTGTAGTTTCAACCATTCATTTGTTCAATAAGCAGTTTGGTATGTTCTGAGAAATAATGAATATTGATCACAAAATCAATCACTTATTAAGAAACAGACGAAGGGAAATTGTTTATCTAATCAATTGTAATATTTGATTTGTTATTTGTATTTTTCAATTTCTTCTACCCCTCCTCGAGGCTCTCCTTCTCTCAGGAACACCAAGGTAAAGGCATGGAGACACTTGCTGAAACTTCTGAAAGAGCACAAAATCCAATGTATTCATTACAGATCATGCGGTTGAAATAGGCAATAATAAAAGAGAATGTGAGTGAGAACTTCAGACACACTGCCTCTTGCACCTGTGGCTTTTCAGCTGAAACGTTATATAGTAATAGGATTTTCTAAAAAGGATGTGTGCTTACTGCTCATGACATGTAAGCTAGCTAAGTTTTTCTTTAAAAGACAAAACAGTTGCACAGGATTTAAACGTCTACAAGCTAACACAGATTTTGAGCAAACCAGGAAAGAAAGTTTGATTACTTTGGATATATGTGAGACTTGTTCTGATTTTTTAAAAGGCTTTTGGTACAATATAAGTGAAATTTACTCTTTAGAATTTTTTGAAACTGTAATAATAAAATGTGCTCAGTTGAGGCAGGTTTGAATTAACTAAGTGATGAAATGTGTTGATGAATCTAACATGGGATAGAAAAAGTGGGAAAAGTCACGTATATCCTTCATGATCCTGGGAAAAGGGATCACTGTCCTCTTGTGGAAACTATTGATGAGGACTTTAATAAGCCCTCTGGGGAAAGATTGAGTGAGTCCTCTTATAAAACAACAGGCCTGATCACCATTTTAGATGTCCGAGTTAAAACAAGGAATGAGTCAGGTGCAATCTCAGAGCACATGTTTCTAGTTTCATTTTTCACATATATGAAAAACTAGGGCTTAAAACCAATGTATAAACTAATCTCATTCCTGGCAGAACTGTTTCCAACTCTTTGCCCTTTTCCCACAGTGCATCTACAGTAGAGAAAATGTAACTGCATCCCCAAGTGGCTAATTAACTTTCCTTGGGATTTGTGAGCACCAGGTGAATATATTGCTCATGCTCATACTTCATCTGAAATGTGATTTTGAATATCCCTCTAGCTGACTGCAGACACTAATGAAAATTGCCTCTTTCTTTCTCTCTTTTTTTCCACCCTGTTTTCCAACCTTAAGATCAGAGCCCTTCATTCACAGCATGGAGTAGTGGGTTTAATTTCCAGCTGAAGTTTCAAGTTTAGATGTTTGGTGGATATCTCGATGGCTGCAAAAGCTGGCAATGCCTTTTTGAAGAACTAAAAGGCTTGCCTGTTTATTTTACTAGTTGAACATCTTCTTGCAGTTGTCTTAAGATGATTAATCATTTGTCTTTCATCTGCTTTTACCTATTACCTTTGAACTTTTCCTTTTTAAACTGGTATTCAGTTTAGTTGTTTCAAATGCCTCCTTGCTGTAAATGAAAGTTCTTTCTGCTGTACCACAGGAGTGAGATCTAATATGTAAGGTGATTATAATTTTAGGAGCATTGTATCATTGTCCACTGGACTGTTATGACCATCTTTTCAAGTGACTCTTTTCATTAAACTGCTCCATGTCTTTTTTTTCTTCTTCCACCTTATTTGTTTTCTTCTTCTCTCTTTTACTTTTCCTCTCACAGAGCCAATTATTACTTGGTTCTTACATCTTCAGCAACTCAATGCTCTCTGGAGCTGTACCTTTTGCCTGCAAACCATGGGTCTCTCTGTCACCTTAGAAACCTTCATTAGCAGCCCATCCCACCATTTATCTGCCCCTGCCCTGCAAGCTAAGGTCTTATTTCTCAACTTTCCTTCCATGACAGACTCCAAGTAAAGGTAACTAATACCTGCCACCTTATTTTTTAAATGCTGCTGTATAATTTCTAGAAAGTGGATCTCAGGTTTCCTGCTTTCACTTCATCATCTACACTGGTTTATGTCCTTGCCTGTGCTTTTAGAAAGAAATAATGATCATCTTATTCCCAAATTTTTAAATACCTTTTAAATCTATGAGTTATATGGCTTATCTGCAGCATTTGTTATTTGTGGGCACACCATCCTCATTTATTCATTCAACGAACATTTATTGAGTGCCTAGTATATTCAGGCACTGTCTATGTACTTGAAATCTATGGATGACCAAAGCAAATCAAAATTTCTGCCCTTATACATTACAGGAAAAATATAGATGACAAGAAATTGACATATAAAAAAAAAACCATATTATCTAACTAAAATCACCATCAATTGTAAGACTTATGGGGCTGGCACTTACATGACCTTACCTCTTTTTGTACCCTAGATGTCTCACTTGAGAATTCAAGGAAAAGGAGATAGCGGATGTAAAGGTCCAAATGCAGGATCCAAATGTAAAGGTCCAAATGCAGGAATGTGCCTGATAGATTCCAGGAGGAGGAGGAGGCCATGATGGAGTGGAACGAGTGAGCTGGGCAAGTGGTAGGAGACAAAATCAGAGTGGTTCCTGGCCAGATCGCATGGGGCTTGTGGCTATCAATTGTAAGGACTTTGGCTTTGAAACACTCAAGAGCAGGTGAAGGGTTTTTGGTCAGAGAACTGATGTGATCCGCATGACATTTTAAAAGCCTCACTCTGACTGCCGTGTTGGGTTTGGAATGTTAGAGGCAGAGTAGAAGCAGAGACTACTGCAGCAATCTTAGGCAAGAGGAGATGATGGCCTGGACTGGGCTGGTAGAAATGACAAGAGTGAAGGGTGGTCAGAATGAGTTATTTAGAAGGGTGGGTCAACCTGATTTGATGATGGATTGGATGTGGGGTGTGAGAGCAAAAGAAGAATCTAAGGTGGTTTCTATGTTTTTGGCCTCTGCAGCTGAGCAACCTGGAAATCTCTTTAGCTCTGGCTTCCAGGAGAGAATTTTTTCTCATTTTCTTATTCTGTGCTTCTGGCTTTGCTGTCTTCTTCACACATTCCTTTTCTGGCACCTGCCTCATCATACGTTTTCCCTATGCTGTTCCCTCAGGCTTCTCATCTCTCTGACTTTTCTTTCTCGTTCCCTTCTCCTGTGTCAACTCAATCTTGAATGCACCCCAGATTCAATTTTCCAGCCCTAACCTCTTTCATGGATTTTGGTCCTCTTTCCAGCTCTTTATTTTCAGATTTCTGATAAAGCCACAGTCATCCTCCCAGTCATCCAGGCTTGAAGCCCCTTGTGCTCCTGTACTAGTATCTTTGCAACTATATAAACAAAATTTCTTTCAGCAGGATTCCCCTTGGGGAGACCCAGCTGATGCACATTTGCAAGAAATGCTTAGAACAGTTAATTGAGATGGGTGGTGAGCACCTCTTAGGATTGCTTGAGAAACAAAAGACGGCAGTTGAACTCCTTCATAGGGTGGACAGTTCCTGTTAGAAGCTGAGCCCTTTGCTTTTCTAGGCATGGCCTTGAGAGATTTGGCCATGAAAAAGCTGGAGTAATATCCAGGACTGTATTGCTTCACATATAAAGGTCTGATAAATTTTAAATTCTCAGGGAAAAAATCTAGAAGTGAGAGAGGTACTATGTGAGAGAATAAAGAGGGAGAAAAAAGCAAAATGATATTTGAAATAAATCTTGTGGTAGGTGTGGGTAAGAGAAGATTGGGAGAAGATAAGTATCTTGTTGGGGATTTTGAAGCTATTGGCTACTGTGTAAATGTGAGGAAAGTCCCCATTTCTGTTTTCTTCATAAAATCTTTAATAAGGATCCCAATATGTGCTCATGGTATTTATGAGACTGAATTTTTGGGGGACTTTTAACAGATGCTGAGTTCTGTAGGTAGGTTGAGGAGGGTTTAAAAGTGGGATATGACTTGAGGGTGTAATGAGTGGACACAAAGGAACAGCTGCCTTCTGCCTTACCCACTCTGCATATTCCCGTGATTAAAAGCTGTTACCCTGACTCAGCAACAGTATGAATGT